CAGCAAGCCACTCCCACAAAGGAGGCCACACCCACAGAGTAGGTTCGAACAATTTTTGAAACCCACCACTGGTTTGGGTGATCCTCTAGTTAGGATTCTGCCCAGTTCGGCAAACGCCCAAATGCCACCCCTGGCTGGCCATGCCCAGCCCGCCTTGCCCCCCCCCACCCTGCCCCTCCCATCCCAGGAGTCTCCATTCAACACGTTCATCATGCCAAGTAAGTACAGGGCCCGCACACTCAGGAAGAGGGAGAAATGGGCCTACCGGAGGTTTACAGAAGTCCAGAAACAGGCCTGTTTCCAGCCTCTGGAGAGCCTCTGGAGCCCAGGGGAAGCAGTTTTCGCACTCCCTGAGGTTCGAGAAAAGCCTCCGGAGCCTGGGGAGGGTGAAAAACAGGTCTACCGGAAGTTCCGGAAGTCTGGAAATGGGCCTGTTTTTGGCCTCCCGAGGGCCTCTGAAGCTCAGGGGAAGCAGTTTTTGCTCTCCCGGAGGCTCAAGGAAAGTCTCTGGATCCTGGGGAGGGTGAAAAACATTCCCACCCCCACCGTGGTGCAGGAGGCCAACTAGGCCACACCCACCATAGACTAGGCCATGCCCACCCAGTAACGGGGCAGCAAACCCGTTGCTGCAATTTTTGAAGCCCATCCCTGCCACCCAGGCAAAAAAAACCCAAAACCTAGCTCTCTGCAGAGGCACTACTGCTTCAGTATTCTTAGAGGTTACGGTGTGGTTTTAAAGAAGGAAAAGGGACATTGGATTGTTCCTGTATCTAAAAATCCATCCGGGATTCTAGTAGTCTGACCATTAGGGGGGTTATGCAGGTAATTTGCCTCAACTGGTATCTTCCATATTGCTGGATTGCACTTCCCACCATCTCCACACAGAGGATCGTGATCTAAAGAAATCCCATGAGATCCCCTTAACATGAAATCTCAAAATACCAGTGATTTATTCTTATACAGGTAGTCTAGTGGTGGGATACGACCGGCACGCCCCGGTACACATGTACCGGTGCCTGCTGTGAGCACAAGGTACCGTTCCAGTATGGTGCTCCGGAGGGCCCGCCCGCCCTCCTTACCTGTATTTGAGCCAAATGGGGCTTACACGCCCGCGCACGGAGTGTACGGTGCCTGTGCAACACTCCGCCAAGCAGCTGAGGCGTCGCAGAGGGTCACAGGCAGTAAGTACGCATCCACGCACTGCGTGTGTGCAGCACGCATTCATGTGGTGGACACCCGGCCCCGTTGCACCGTACCGGTTGCAACAGGGTCCAAAACCCACCACTGAGTTACAAGTTACAACCACAACTGAGACCAAAATTTCCATTGCTGAGCAAGACAATTTTGCTTGTCAGAAGATCGCAAAAGGGGAATCACATGATCCCAGGAAATTACGACCATCATAAATATCAACCAGTTGCCGAGCATCCAAATTTTGATCACATGACCATGGGACTGCTCTGCAATGGTCGTAAGTGTGAAAAATGGTCTTAAGTCACTTTTTTCAGTGCTGTTGTAACTTCAAACAGTCACTAAATGAATGGCTGTAAGTCAAGGAGTATCTCTGTCTTCCATATTGGTGGACTACATTTCCCATCATCCCAACACAGAAAAACATGATCTAAAGCAGGGGTCAAACTCACAGCGTCACAGCGACATCATGTGACGTATTGGGACTTTTTTTCCCCTTCACTAAATCGGGTGTGGGCATGGCCAGCATCCAGCCATGGGCCAGGAGATTGACAGCCCTGATCTAAGGAATCCCACTGAGATCCCATTCAACTAAAATCAAAAGGCCAAATATTTAGTCTTATATTTTGCTTTAAACACAGAACAGTTTGATTGTCAAGTCTTGTTTCTGAATCAGTTGCATTTCCAATTATGCAATTTGAATTGCTCTTATTTACAATTAGATGTCTTACAGAACACAAAGACTTAAAATACAGATTGTATGCATGAACTCAAGTTTCCTTACAACCATGAGTGCAATTAAACTTTGGATTAGAAAATTAGATGAATTTTGCTGACTACGAAACAATAAAAGGTAAAGGTAAAAGTTCCCTTCGCACATATGTGCTAGTCGTTCCCGACTCTAGGGGGCGGTGCTCATCTTCGTTTCAAAGCCGAAGAGCCAGTACTGTCCGAAAACGTCTCTCTGGTTATGTGGCTGGCATGACTAAATGCTAAAGGCACACGGAATGCTGTTATCTTCCCACCAAAGGTGGTCCCTATTTTTCTACTTGCATTTTTACATGCTTTCGAACCGCTAGGTTGGCAGACAAGTAACAGGAGCTCACTCCATTATGCGCAGTGGTGGGTTGCATTTACCACCACTACCGGTTTGGTGATCGCGCACGTGCATTCCATTCGTGCGTGCACCTGACCCACGCTGCGCACGCATGCACAATCCACCGCCCCTGCAACAACTGGCTGATTGTCAGGGCTCACGCAGGTGCCGCACACTGTGTGCATGTGTGCAATTTGCCTTTTGCCATAAAAACATGTATAGAGCGCAGGTGGGCCAAAAGAGCCATCGTACTGGTTCGCTCTCAGCTGCTCCAGGCCACTACCAGTTTGCCCAAACCAGGCTGAACCGGCAGCAACCCACCCCTGGTTACCCGGCACTAGGGATTCGAACCGCCAAACTGCCGACCTTTCTGATCGACAAGCTCAGCGTCTTAGCCACTGAGCCCCCGCGTCCCTTATGAAAGAATACAGAGAATCAAATCAATCCGTTTCCAAGCATTAGAAGCTACGTTGTCAATCAAATGACTAGAACAGTTTCAAGACAAGCAGAAGGAAGCATGGTAAAATTGCTGAGAGCTGCAATTTTCCAACCTCTGGAAGGTTTCACCATGAGCATCCATATCACCCATATCAATCCTGAAGTATCCTTCACCACATCTTACCTTGCACCACCAATGTCCACTCCAACCATTAGCTGGCCATTCAGCGAAAGGATCTCGTCTCGCAAGCGAACTTTTCCACATTTCCCTGCCGGGCTGTTTTTTTTCAAATCAGTAACCCAAATGCTTCCAACATCAAGCACTGGGCCTTTATGTCCCCTCTTTCTTCTCCCCATTCTCCGTTTTTCACCATAATCCCCAAAAGCAGGGATATTGCCGAAACTTAGGCCGAGAGGCTCCGTCGCTTCTGGGTCCTTGGTTAAGTAAACCGTACAGATTTCCATATCCACCGGACTGGGGCTGTAGTGCAGCTTGCCTTCTTCCACCGGGAAGTTCAACTGGATGTACTCTCTCAGCTTCTTAATGGCTGAATGGCAGAGGCCGTGCTCAGGTTCCTCCGCTTCCTGTTTCAGATGGCCCTGCAACCATCGATAAAGGATGGGAAGAAACAGCATCGCGTTTTCTGGAGTGATGGGCATTGTGGTCATGCCAGGTTTCCATTATGTCAAGAAATGGTTCTTCTTCAACTGAGTCAGATCAACGTTCCTGGCCAAGCCAAGATTGTTGGGTGGTTCATTTGCAGCCATCTTGACAGGACCAAGAAAACGCAGGGAAAAGACACACAAGGACAGCCAAAACTAAACAATAACAATAATAATAATTGCTTGTTCTTCCACTCCCAATTTGGCCAGGACAACAAAGGGCCTTTATGATGAAGACCGAAGACTGTTGCTCTGGAATCCACAGCAAGAGAAGAAAGGAAGAGACCAGGATTTCATGCTTGCCTCCTCTCACAGCTGTCCACACAGAAATGTACGGCTCACCAGCCTGGAATTTCTCCTCCACACTCACCCACACCTGCTTGACCTAGAAAAAAAAGGGAAACGGCCCAATTAAAACCATAAATCTGTTTCAGATGCAGGATTAGAAGCTTATACGCAATGCTTAATAATGAGAAGATTTTTGCCTAAGATTATTTTGTTTATTGGTTAATTCTATAATCTGTTCATTTTGCTTTAGGTTAACTTATGTGGGTTATTCATTATTTACTACAAGGACTGCGGGCAGGAAGAAGAGGAGGCATCAAAGACAAATTTCTAATTATGCAGATAGTTTCACAGACAGAGGCGCATTTTACAGTTAACCTCTTCATAGAAACTAAGGAAGGAAGGAAGGAAGGAAGGAAGGAAGGAAGGAATGTATTTATTTTATATCTTTTAATCTTGACAAGGGAGAGTGGGAGGGAGGGAGGAAGATATTTCTTTTATATCTTTTAATCTTGAAAAGAAAAGAAGGAAAGAAGGAAGGAAGGAAGGAAGGAAGGAAGGAAGGAAGGAAGGAAGGAAGGAAGGAAGATATTTTTTATATCTTTTAATCTTGAAAAGGGAGGGAGGAAGATATTTCTTTTATATCTTTTAATCTTGAAAAGGAAGGAAAGAAGGAAGGAAGGAAGGAAGATATTTCTTTTATATATTTTAATCTTGAAGAGGGAGGGAGGGAAGGAGGGAGGGAGGGAAGGAGGGAGGGAGGAAGGAAGGAAGGAAGGAAGGAAGGAAGGAAGGAAGGAAGGAAGGAAGGAAGGTCGTGTATATCTTTTAATCTTGAATATTTATACTGGTGGGAAGCTCAAATTCCCCTTGTTTTTCAATTGGTATAGCTAGGTGCTGACCTAGAAATCAGGAGTCTGTGAGTTCTAGTCTTGCCTTAGACATGAATGCCAGCTGGGTGATTTTGGGCCAGTCCTTCTTTCTCACCAGCCCTACCCACCTCACAGGATAGTTGCTATAAGGAATAGAAGAAGGAAAGAGTATTATTTATGTTTGCTGCCTTGAGTAGCATATAATGTAACAAAGGTGAGATAAAAACTATTAAGTATACATATTCTTTAAAAAACCAAAACTAAGTTTAGATACCAACAAAAGTTAACATTTTGTCCAAGATTCGAAGTTTTTAAAAGAGCTACCATAGCATCTCAAGAAAATGCTGCCTTTTGCCAGGTTCATCCATTGCACTGAAACACACACACACACACACACACACACACACACACACACACACACACACACACACACAACCCTTCGTTTCACTTCTGTTCAATGCATGGCTGAGCCCAGACATTCTGATATTCACTATGCCATGATTTGAAAATTTCTGCCCTGGATAAGAGGTTGAACGAGAAGACCTCTGTGGTCTTTTCCAACCCTATGATTGCATGATCAATCATGGTTTATTGAGTGAGCTACAATTGGGTTTGAACATACAATACTCTAAGTTAGTGATGGTGAACCTTTTTGGCACCAAGTGCCGAACAGAGAGCACTTCCTGCGTGCGTATATGCTTCGTGTATGCACGCACATTTGTCTCGGCCATAACCAAGAAGAGGAGCTGCCCAGGGGGTATACACATGCCAGAAATTGAACTTCCGGCTTCCCGCATGCACATGCGCAACAACCAGAAAATCTTCCAGTTACCGCTGCACATACGCATGCACCGGTCAACTGGCTGGCACGCATGCTCACGCTGGAAAACGGAAGAACCACTCTTCTGGTTTCCGGCAGTGCTGCATGCATGCCAACTGATCAGCATGCACACTAGAAACCCGGAAGAGGAATGGGCAATGCCGAACATGCCAGGCAACATGACTCCATGTGCCACTTCAGGCACATAGGTTGACCATCACAGCCCTAGGTCATATGTCATGACAGACAAACTGTAGTGCTTAGATTTGCATAATATATTAAGCCAAAGTGCAAAAATGCTACATTACAGGTTGGCCTGCTTCACTGTACAAACTCAGTTATTTATATAATGACAGTTTTCAAGTCATACTTGTTCTCTCTTCTCTTTCCATTATTATTAATTTACATGCCATTCAACACTCGGCAATTCTTAACTATTGCTAATGTTAATGACTGAACAGTTTCATAAAACTATATGATATTCTTCCAAGTCTCTAAATGTTCTATTCTGTGGCTAGGTTCCTAATCAAGTGTCTGTAAAAAAATAATGAATGGCCTAAAAAAAAATCTACCCAGTTAGTTTTGAGTCTGAAAAATGATACTCTATATAGATATCTTATAAAGTCAGTATTGTCATCAAATCTATCTTAAAATGGTTTCTTAGGAAGGGTGGAGTGAAATACTCAAACAACAATATTATACAAATATTTTTCCGGATTCACTTATCAAACCTGCCCTACAACATTTTGGGATATCCTGATTCCATGCAAACTTTTCTTTCATTCCCTAACAAATTGTGCTTTTCCTTCCTTATATCCTTCCCAATGGAATTTCTAAAAAAGCCCTCAAGACCCATTTCCTGACTTCTACAAAAAGTAATAAAAGGCTAATTAAAATAACTCCATTTGAAACTTTCAGATGTGGTTTCCCATTATCTTCTTTAGACGCTGTTTTTAAAGGCCTCACGCTAGACATTCTCCAGTCCCATCCAAACAGTGTTTTATGACTTTCCATTTCCTCAAAGAAGCACACTATCCTATTTTTATTTGTATTCAGTGGGAGTGGAAATAGAGCTTATCAAAACATTTTCGGTTTATTTTAATAAGTGTTTTGTTTTTTAATCCTCGTTAAAATGAGACAAGATTTTGGCATTTCGTAGCCTTGAAAAGTTTAACACATTGAACTGGATAACAGCTGGTCCCACTCAACATCAGATTCATGGACCACAATGAACACACATCTGGAGTTGAATGAAGTTGTTATTGTGAGAAGGGAAGACCCAAGTATCATTCTTCTCATCAAGACCACTCACCAATCCTGATCACCGCTCACCCGACTGTGAACCCCAAGCTGTAAAACCAGAGACGGCTTAAGCTTTTTGGCCTATATCAGGGGTGTCAAACTCAAGGCCTGCAGGCCAGATGCGGCCCACAAGGCGCTAAAATCTGGCCTATGTGGAGCCTGGAAATAGCAAAGGACCAGCCCCGATGCCTTTGGCAGCCAAAATGGAGCGCATAGGAGCCACGTGCAGCTTCCCTGTGCCCCATTTTCAGCCTGGACGGCCTCCTGCAGGACTCGGCCAGCCAAAACATGCCCCGTTTTGGCCCACAAAGTGCTGCAGACAGTCCAGGCCAAAACACAGAGCACGGGGAGGTCATGCGCGGGGGAGCCCTCATACCCTTATTTGGCCGGCAGGGTGCTACAGGAGGCATTCGTCCCATCTCCCCCCTTCCCCCAGCTGGCCCGCAGAGGAGAGCTACAATGCTGATCCAGCCCTCAAAGAAATCCAGTTTGACACCCCTGGCCTATATTGACACTTGGGCTAAAACTGAGTATTTAGTCTCTCTAGGAAATTGGAAAATATCAGCAACTGTTCTGTCCCAAGCTTTTACAATATATACGGACGCAGACTTGGCTGTCTGCCACAACTAAGGGAGAGGGAGATAAGCAACCCCTTGGCTGGGAGCCCAGAAAGCTATCTCTATGAAACAAGGCTTGAACTCACGAAATTCTCCCAATCTTTCTCTATGGCTGGATCAGTAAATTGTTGTTTTCTGCAAAATTTCACTCCCGTCGCCCCACCTATAAGCTTTCCAGGAGGGGCCAATTAGAAGCCACCTGTTCCTATTTCCTTCTGTGACCCATTTTCCAAAGCTGTTCCCTCCTCCTCGCAGCCCTACGCATACGTCTAAGTAGCCTAAACTCGTCAAGGACAGCCTCCCTCTGTTCTTCCTCTCTGCTCCCTGACTCAGATGCTACCTGGTGGCCAACAGGCCTCTCTAGTTCCTGCTCTGACTCTCAACACCCCCCAGAGTCTTCCACAGCCTCCAGGGCAGCCCCATCGTGGTCATCGCTGTCAGATGCCACCAATAGCTCAGCCGGCCGCTGTTGGGCCACAACAACAAGGACAGGTTTTTTTCCTGAATGCCATCACTCTGCTTAACAACGAATCTCCACACCATTGTCAATTTACTAAGACTGCATTACTATTATTCTTCTCATCCTTTCTAGTATCTATTTCTTCACAGTTTTATTTGTTTTATACCAGAATTCCCCTTCTTTCCTGCCACTCCATTGATTGTCCTGAGATTAATGCTTGGNAAGTAGCTATTCAGAAACTCTGGCATTGAAGCATGCAAGTCTTAAAGCTGTCAAGTTAAAGATCATTGCCAGTGGTGGGGTTTCAAAACAATTTGGGACCTCTTCCGTAGGTGTGGCCTGCTTTCCGGGTCCACTGGTGGAACCTCTTCTAACCGGTTTGGTAGATTTGACGAACCGGTTCTACCGAATAGGTGCGAACTGGTAGGAATCCACCCCTGATACAGAAGAACATGCAGATTTACAAAAGTAGTACATTTGTCCAGTGGGGGGTTTCTATTTTTTTACTACCGGTTTGTTCATGTGGGCACGTGCATGCACTCACGTGCCTTGATGCTTTTGCGCATGAGCAGAAGCATCTAGGCAGGTGGGCGGAGCCTCCCACCGCCACCACTACCGGTTCGCCCGGGCCGAAACGGGAGCAACCCACCTCTGCTTTTCTCATATTCATTGTGAACCTATGTCAAGAAAAAGCTCCATGCCATAATTAAAGGTTAAGATAAAGGTTTCTCTGTCCAGACATGTCTGACTTAGGGTGTGGCGCTCATCTCTGTTTCTTCGCCAAGAAGCCAGCATTGTCTGAAGACGCTTCTGTGGTTGTGTGGCCAGAATGGCTATATGCCAAAGGTTGATGGAATGGTGTTATCTTCCCACCGAAGTGGTACCTATTAATCTACTCACATTTGCATGCTGTCGAACAGCTAGGTGGGCAGGAGCTGAGGCA